TTTGACTCCATGCCTTAGTAGTGTGGCCTAATGTAGTAGGTGTCCTGTAGGTCCAGTGGCACAGCCTCCCCTAAGCTGAGTACTTGAGGTGCACCCTTTATGAGAGCTGAGTACACTCTCCTCTTGTAGTTGACCTTTGATTGCTGTTGGCAGATAAATGGGAGGGATTTACCCAGGCCAGTCAACTGCAAGGACTGGCTGTGACCACTGACCACCAACCTTCACCCTCCATAGAGGATCAGCTGTGCAGGGGCAGCATGGTGATACTCTAATGTGGTCTGTAGCTGTCCACTGGGTGTGCTGGCCCTAGAGTTTCACCGGTGATATAGGCCAGGATTAACTCCCACCTGTGTTTTCCCTGGGGCCACCCTGCCTGAGCCATTATGCAATCTGAGATGGATGCTACTTGTGCTGGGCTTGGAGATTCCCAGGCAAAGACAAGCTGTGAATCTAGGCTGCTATTTCTAGGCCTGGGTCTCACTGAGGCCAACTGCTGCTTGTTTGAAAGGATTTAGGAAGTTGTGAAGCAGGACCCAAGATAAACCATTCATGTAGAAAAGCAACTTGGGTGGGCCTATAAATTGGGTGGGGTGGAGTCTCTGAGGATCCCCATGGCAGGTCAAACAGTGTTAGCCATGTTGATGGAATCTTAGGTACTGCACCAGTGTGCCACCTCTGTTGGGGGAGGGCCCAGAAAAGGGACTATGGCCTCTGCTCACCTTGATGCCAGACACTTCAGTCTCTCCCCACACGCCACTGGTGCCTCTCAAGCCACCACCCCAACACCAGAGGGAGTGAGTCTGAGTAAGTGAGTCTCCATGGGTTCTTTAAGAAGAACTGCTTGGGGCTCCAGAAGTTTCTTCTACTGACTCAACCCCCACTGGTTTTTGCAGCCAAAAGTTGTAGGGATTTAACTTCTTGGCACTGGAATCCTGGGCTGGGGGGTCTAGTGCGGGGCTGGGACCCCTTGTTTCCAAGATATCCCTCATGAATTTTTATCCACCACATGTGGATGTGGGGCCAGCCTGTTCCATGTCTCCACCCCTATCAGTATGGACGGATGTGGTTCTTTTCATTCCGTAGTTGTCAGACTTCCTTTCAGCTCAATTTCTGATGGTTCTGAGCAATGGTTGTTCTATATTTTAGTTGTAACTTTGTTGTGGTTGTGTTACCGAACAAAAGGACCCATGGGGGGCGGTGCCCAGATGCTATTACCCAAACAATGACACCCTCCTTCCCCGGGACCCCTCAGTTGTGGGTCCTTTGCCCGCCACCCTTGGAATTATAGCTCTGAATGACAGAGTTTAGAGAGAAGGAAAAGGAGCTATTTATTCCAAAGTTATACAGGTTTGATTAATAGCTAAATGTCACCCTTCAACCTCAAAATCCCTTCAAAACAATCACCAGCACATACACTGTCCTGCCTTCCCCCATTGGCCCAGTTAGGCCAGTCGGGCCAGTCAGCGGTACCGTCCTTCAGAAGAAAAAGAACAGAAGTCCGGGGCTCGGCTAGGCAGGCCTCTTGTGGGTCTCAGCACCATCCACTGTGTCACCATCTCCAGCTCTTAATCCATAACCATGTGGCACCTTCTCAGGGCCCACTAGCAAGAGTCCTTTCTCCCCTTTTCCCGCATGATCTTCACACACTGTTCCCTAAGAGTCTGTGTCCCTTTCTCTCTCCTGCAGGCCCCTGTCTCCCCTCTTCCTCTCCCTCGGTTACATTCTGTATTGTCTTTTAAACCCTCCTGATTAGTTTTGGTGATATGCCAAATAATCATCTTTGCAAATGAGGAACGAAGCTATCCTGTTATTGACATGCAAACTGACTCTCAATGGCCCTGCTCAAGGCTCCCATCCCCCATGGCGGCCCGCCCTGGGGTGGGGAGAATATATTTTTCTTGGACACCCCAATCTCTGGACCCCATTACGAAATACCCTTTGGTGGGGGGGGCCCTTGCTGTGCCCCGTTACAGTTGTGCAAAGAGGCAAGCCATGTCTGCCTACCCTGCCATCTTGACCGGAAGTCTCAATGTTTTATTCCTAAAAGCACATAGCCAATGGTGTTTTGATAGAGATACTGAATCATAATCAACAAAGAGCAAGGTTTTAAAATTTATAACAAATAGCTCTGTTCTTAAGAACCTTAATAGAAGCTGAAGATGAGATTTTAATCTGATTAAATATTATCAGTAATGGAATGTAGTAATGGTTAATTTTGTCAACTTGACTGGGCCATAGTGTGCTCAGACATCTGGTCACACATTATTCTGGGTGTGTCTGTGAGGGTGTTTCTGGGTGAGATTAACATTTGAATCAGTCAACTGAGTAGAGCAGATTGTCCTCCCCCATGTGGGTGGGCCTCATCCAACCAATGGAAGACCCAAACAGGACAAAAAGGCTGAGTAAGAGGAAGCTCCTCCTGCCTGTGCCCAGGGCTGGAACAGGAGTCTCCTCCTGCCTTTGGACTCATCAGCTTGCCTGGGTCTTCAGCTGCTGACTGCAGGTCTTGAGACCTCTCAACCTCCACAATCATGTGAACCAGTTACTTATAAGCAGTCTCTTTATCTCGTATAATAAGTCATATAAATATTTATATATGATCATGTGTTAATCATATATGTACAATATGTGTGTATATACATATATGTGTATATATAGACATACACATGTAGCCTTTTGGTTCTGTTTCTCTGAAGAATGCTGACCAATATAAATATCAAGTTGATATTAACTGGTATGGGAGTGTATTTAAAAATGACCACTTCTTGAACCTCTCCCATTTTAAAAAACACTTCACATACTTGAAATAGGGGTGAAGGGGAAAAGCAAAGGACTTAGTGAAAACTGTTCTTAATGTTCTTTGACAAAACAAGTTTCTACAGATCCAGAGGGGTCGATGCTGTAATGGAGGAATATGTTCAATTGATGAGTGCTCCTTAAATCAGGCTTTGACTATTCCTTTAACTGCCATAGACACCCAAGCTTCTTTATGGGCCTCTCTTAAGAGATAAAAATGACACCAGATATTCCAGTTCCTGAGATGTAAGTATAAAAGTTCTGGAAGCCTCATAGATCCTAAGCAAATAAAAAAAGAAAAAAAATTGTATGAGGCCAAAAATTCAGAATTCAGACAGCACACTCTATTGTTAAATAAAGAAAACAAAGCAGCTCTGGTTGGGTGGCTCAGATGACTGAACCATCATCCTATAAACCAAAAGGTTGTGAGTCTGACTCCCAATCAGGACGCGTAGGGAGGCAACCAATTGATGTTTCTCTCTTTCTCTCTCTTTCTCTCCCCACCCCCAACCTTCCTGTCTCTCTAAAATCAATAACTATATCCTTGGGGGAATTTAAAAGAGCAAATAATCCATAAGATAATACTCAAATTCATTTTTCCATTGTTAAAATTCGAAGCAGAATTATATTCAAATTGATTTTTGTGTATGAAAATTCTTTAAAGAAATTCATGTGTATAAGCCCATCAGAAGTCACCTAAAAACCCTCTTCAAGCTTTAGAAACAATCTTACAGTTGTAAAGTTTATTAGACAAAGAAGTCTCTACATATTGGAGTTTCTAGATTGGTCATAAGGGTGTTCTTGGAATAATAAAGCTGGAGCCTCTTCAGGAGATTCTAGGCATCTGCATTGTAAAGATTTCCAATTCATCTGCACACCCAGGGGTGTGTTAGTACCTTTTACTCAATGACTTTGGAAACTGAGCTACCAAAATATATGCAGCAGTTTAGAAGGAATTGCCTGTTGAAAAGAGATAAGACCCTGGATGACGGGGCCAGAATTTAATAAGACTTAGGGAAATGAATCAACAGGATTTTATCAGGTGCCATGCGGACGTAAGGAAAAACAAGGTGGACAAGAGCAAGTTAGATGTGAGTTTGGCATCAACTCTTAGAATAAGAGCACTTAGAAATATCAGTATATTTCTCTGTGTTTGTTTATTCTCAATGTGTGTTGTAAAAGAGTCTCGATGGCCTCAATATCCCAGTGCCTTCGGAGAAAGGTGGGCCCACCCCAGCTATGTGCTAGCCAAGGCGGCCTTTCTGAGTCAGTCTTATAATTTCTAGGGCTTGACAGTGTTGTACTGTAGTTTCAAAAGTTAGGTGTGGTCATACCACAGGAATTCTTCTCCCTTAGGAGTCCAGCACCCGAAATGATTCAAAGTCTGCATGAGTTATGGTGGGATTTCATGATTGGTTTGAAGAATCAAAATCAGGATGACATACTGGTAGAAGTTTTGAAAGTCCAGAGCTTAAATATCCAGTCACTCATGTACTGGCTTGTGATCTTGGGCAAGTTAGTTATCTGAGCCTTGCCATCCTTGTAGGATTGTTTCAGGGATGAAACCAGTTAACACAGTGCCTCCTCCATAGCTCAACAAGCAACCAGTCCATCCCTATCGATAGTACCAAAATTGATTGTACAGAGGAGTATCAACTGACATTTAAATGACATCTACCATGGGGCAGGAAGTGTACCAGTTATTTTCATGCATTAGTTCCTTTAACCCTTACAAAGTCCCCAAGGGGATAGATATTCTTCTTCTATGTCATCAGAGACAGGAATTGAGATTGTATCACAGCAAAGTATAGTAGAAAATACGCTGAATGGGGGAGGTGTCTTATTAGATAGTTGTTAATTCCTCTTTCAGCTAACAGGCCACGATTCTATGACCCAATATGATAAAATTAATGTGGATGGAGTTGTAGTCAGATTTCTCAATATTGACAGGAATTTTAAAAGGAAAAAATAACTTTGAGAAGCTGTAGTTACAATGAATCAACATTTGCAGGTTTTTTAGAGCAATACTTGGAAGAAACTGTCAGTAATTATTATTTCAGAACTTGTCTTAGTAGTCCAAAACCTGAAACATTTTGTCCTGGAAGCTACGGTTTACAATGTCAGAGACAGTCATAATTACAGTGCTATTCGTAATTGTTTGAAAGGTGCTTGAAAGGAAGAGAGTTTGTTCGACTCACTCTTACCTGCAAAGTTGTGAGTTGCCACCTGGTGATAGCAGAGTTCCACGCCATCTGAGGAAAGGGGGCTCCTAAACATGAAGTAAGCCACAAGAAATGCTGCTTGGTTTTTGCTCAAGGAATAGGTTTCTCTATTTTTTTTTTTAAATGGCTAAAAGCTAGGTTATTAATTAAACAAGTATTATCCACCCAGACATATTCAAGAGTGAATCGGGGGGAAAATCGTACAATTGAGCAAGTCTCTTGCTAGTCATTCTCGTGAGAACCAGCTAAATCGTTTTCCTGTTCTGCTGAGCAGAACAGAACCCGGTCGCAGGGCTGCTCTCCCGGCTCGCAGAAGCCGGCTCCCTCCCGCAGCGCAGCTTCCCTGCTGTGCTTCAGGCCCCATTTCCCTCTTCGTCCATCACCACCATCCACCCCACCCCGCCCCGCCCCCGCCCCCGCCCCCGCCCCGTTTCCTGTGGCTTTCCTAGACCACAGGGACCTCTTTTCCGTCTTCTGGGAACTCTCAAATCCCAAATACTGTAGAATCTTTAATCAAAGCTTGCAGTTTTTAGTATTTATTTTTTAAAAAAACTTATTTTGACAATTATGCCCTTTCTAGCTAATTTGCAGGTAAATTGTTTGAAAGTTCACGTAACTGAATTCTGGCTTGCAGTAAAAATTTGTTTTATAAATTTATAAAACAAATTTTTTAAAAACAAATTTTTAAAACAAATTTTTACTGCAAGCCAGAATTCAATTTATAAAACAAATTTTTACTGCAAGCCAGAATTCAATTCTAGCACAAATAACAGTCCATGGAAAGTTTCATGCTTCAGACCTGAATATGTTTTAGAACCAGAAGAAGAGGGCAGCTTTAATTAATTTCTTTATCGTATGATCAATCACTCAAAAGATTGCCCGTGTCTAACCTCGATCACAAAGGCCCTGAGGCCAGGGGGCTGCCCTGACCATTAAAACAGGTCTTTTCTTTATGACAAACACATGTCTAAAACCTAGTGGCGATAATTATAGGAAAAGTTAAAAATGCATCAGCTGATATTTTTATTCTTAACAAAAGTGAAATGTACTAAATTCAATTCCTGATTTTATCCTACCACTACCCTGTACCGTAATTATGAGTTAAAATAAACAAACCCTGTTTTCAATACAGAGTTCTCCTTTCACTGTGCTGGATCATCTGATCATCTCAAAAAGGCCACCTCTCATTCCAAAGTAAAACGCCATGTTTCTCAGAATGCCCTTCTGTATGGTTTACGGTTTGGTTTTTGTCACTAAAGGTACTGGCATGGCTAAGCCATCCTTCTCAGGAGGTCACGGTGGCCAATGGTGATGGCTTCTTGAAGTTTTGCTAACTCCAGATTCCCTCCAGGCTGCAGTTCTTCAGGCTGAAATCTTAGGCGAACCATTTCTCTGACACCCCGTGTGTTCGGAGCCTCCCTCCCTCAGCTCCGCCACCTACGTGTAAGCCTAAATCCTATGCTAAGCCCTGATGCCTAGAATACTTGCAGTGGCTCTATTTTCTGGACTGGACCCATTTCCATGATTAAAAATTGTACTAATAGTTATTACAGATGATCAGGCAAAGATAACGTTCACAAAGCCCTGCAAAAATTTGTCTAGTGACAAAGGCAAACTAATTAATGGAACAAATCGGAAAGATAAATTTTCCATTTTCACAGATGGCTGAATTTACACAAGCAAAAGTAGTATTAGAATGCAAGTGAGGGTCCTGTGTTAGGTGTTTTTACTGATAAAAATCCTAGATTTTTACTTTTGAAAACATTGCTTTTTGCTGCTTGCTCTCCTGCCCTCTCCGAGAAGGCTGGCTGCACTGCCAGATTCCCAGGGGTTATTTAGCATATTCCCCAGCATGCCTCTTGCCTCACCTCAGCTGTTCCTTAGCTTCATTTCCTGTTTATTAATACCTGAAATAGAAACTCTACTGACATTTAATGCATTCCACTGACATTGGCTAGCAGACTTCTTGTAATTGTCTGACCTTCTCATCCTCTCTGCATGTTAAAATTACTTAAGGAATGGATGTGCTCAAAGTTCGGTGCCCTACGATTGTTGGAGGAAAAGGTCACACAAATCCAATAAACACATAATTTTATTTTTCAGTGGTGCTGAAGTCCATGATCCAGTACCATATACCTTGGACAGAAAGTGTGGAAAATCATTTAGCCTTCAGAGACTGCTGGTAGGTCTCCCTAAATCCCGTCCTTTCACTCACATGTCAATCTTTGCTTGAATTAAATTTCTATCTTAGTGTTCTGGAGTAGTGGACCTTTGTTTTATGTAAGTTTTAAATTTTAATATGTAATACACTGGGAAGAAGTTAACTATTAAACACCAAACTCAGAAAAGGCATGTTATAGTTATGTTCTAAATCTTAGTTGAAGTTTTTCCTTGTCAGGACTAGGTTACATTAAAATGAGAAGAGTTAACTTTATGCATGACCGCCCCCCCCTCCCGTCCATGGAGTATTCTATCAGTCAGGATGGGACAGCCTTCTCCACAGTAACAAACAACTCCCAAATCTCAGTGGATGCTCACCACAGAAGGTGATTTCTCACAACACGTACACTGTGAGCCAGGAGGGAGGCGCTGCCTCACTCTCTCAGGGCTCCTCGTCACTGGACACCCCATTGTACCACATGTTTCCAGAATTACAGGGACAGGAGGAGATGAGTGGGACTCATATACTTGCTCTCAAAGCTTCTGCTTGGAGGTGACACATGGAACTTCCATTTACATGTCAGTGCCTAAAGCAAGTCACATGGCCTCAATTAACTTCAAAGTGGGTGGAGAATTATAATCTTATCATAGGCCAGATGGGGAGCTGGAATATGTATTCATGAGCCATAATTTAAATTCTTTCTCAGATTCCAGAAACATAAATATTTTATTTATTGCCATTACCAGATTTCATTACAATCTAGCGAGTGTACACGTTATCAATGGGGGCAACGAATCCCTGGGGGCTGGAGACTGATCCCTTGGGGGGTGGGGGCAACAAATCTTAGATAGTACCATGGCCTGTGGCTGTCCAAAGGGCCGCCTTATAGAAACAGATTTGCTCTATATTAAATTTTTACTGGTGAAGGGGGTGATTGGGGAAAAAGTTTAAAAAGGCTCCTTACAAGGTTCATGAAAATAAAATTGAGAAGTACTGGTGCAGGAGAAAGCATCCTGAATGCAAGAATCAGGAAGTAGGAGTGTTCTAATTCTGGCATTTAAGTAGATTAATTAATTGATCACTCAACTTGAAAACTTAGTTCTTCTCATCCTTGTATTAGTCTCCTAGGGCTTTGGTACAAACTACCACAAACTGGGTGACACAAAACAATAGAAATTCATTCTCTGACAGCTCCAGAGGCTAGAGGTCCAAAATCAAGAGGCCAGCAGGGCCGTGCTCTGAAGCTCCTGAGGGAAAACCTCCCCCGTGTCTGTTCTAGCCTCTGCTGCAGGCTGGCCATCCTTGACATTTCTTGGGTTGTGGCGACGTAACTGCAATCTCTGCCTCTGTCATCACATGGCCTTCTTCTCTCAGTGTATTTCCAACTCTCTCTCCTTATGAGGACACTATGCACTGGAATTGGCCCACCCTAACCCAGTATAATCTCACTGGAACTTGATTACATCCGCAAAGACCCCATTTCCAAATAAGGTCACATTCACAGATACTGGGGGTTAGGACTTCAGTGTATCTTTTGGGGAGACACAATTAGATTCTCAATACTCTTCAATTCCATAGCTCTGTGTATGTGACATATTTTCTTTCTTCTTCTTCTTTTTTTTTTTTTGCTGTGTCCACTGCATTCCAGACTCTGTGTTTACGGTAGAAAGATTCCTTTACTCAAAGCATATTTATTTAGTCCCTACTGTGTGCTAGGCATTGTAACTAGGGTTACCGGCATACAATAAAACAAACAACAAACCGCTGAACAGTTTAACAAACTGGTACATCCGTACTATGAATGATACTTTGCAATACAAACAACAAATTATTGATGCATACAAGTTGGATGCATGTACAGGGAATTATGTTGAATGAAAAAAGTTTTAACTTCTAACTCCAAAGGTTACACACCGAAATTCCCCTGACCAAACACTTCTGAAATGACAAATTTTAGAAGAGGACAGTTAACAGTTGCAATGGTTAGGCCAGGGAGTCCAAGGAAAGGTCGTGTGTTACAAAAGGGCGACATGAGGGGTCACTGCAATGATGGAGCTCCCATCGCTGAGTGCGGTTGTGCCTACCCAACCTAATCACGTGATAAAGCTGGAGAGAGTAAACACATACACACATGCAATGTACACAAGTGCAACTGGGGAAACTGAGTAAGAGTGGTGGATCGAATCACTGTCAATATCCCAGTTTTAATATTGTACATATTATACTGTTACAATGTCATTTGGGAGAAACTGAGTAAAGTGTATATGAGATCTTCTCTGTGTTTTTTCTTACAAATGCATGTGAATCTATAATTACTGCAATAAAATTTTTAATTAAAACTTTATCTGGAAAAGAAACTTCACAGTAAGAGGTATCCAAAAATAAAACACAAACAAAACACCACTGAAGGAGATATATCTTACTAGACATCAAAAAAATACTAACAGTAGTTAAACAGAGTGCTATTAGTACAGGCAGTCAATCACACGTAACAGAGAATCCATAAACAGAACCATACACATTTGAGAAAGTATATTATGAAGGCAACACTTCATATCATTTGGGAACGGAAAGGTTAAGTGATGGAAAAATTTATTATTAATTGGGGAAACATAGATCCTTTTATCACACAACACATAAAATAAATTCAAGATAGATTAAAATTGATGTTTAGAGAGCAAGGCTACATAGCTGGTCATAGATGGAATGCAGGAGGATTTATTAAAATATATAACTTTCAGGTAGGAATGAGCATTTGGAGAGAGGCAAAAAGAAAATGAACAAACTATTTTAAAGGAATTATTTGCATGTAATTAATATAGCAAAACACTTTTGTTCATTAAGTTAAATGTGATAGGACCACAGTTTGTAGAAGTTCATTGGTGGTTAATTTGCTATTTTGCAATATCTAGAAAATAATAAACTTGTCCAGGTAAACTAATGAATTTGCCTTTGCAGACAAGTGATCCCATTGTATACAATGACACTACCCTAAGACATGACGTGCTGGGTCTTCCGGTAGCCAGCTCAGGGTGGACAGCTGTGCTTTGGTGCATCATACTTTGCTATCATAATTATGGCACTTCTACTTAGTCTGCAATAGGCTATCACTTTTTTCCAAGTTTCAAGGAGTCATTTTTATAGCACATTAAGCCCAGCCTCTGGTGTCCTTGGCAAGATGTTAAATTATGAGTCACAGGAGAGTGCCGCACATCAACAAACTGTTCCACACCTGGATTTATATTCTGTTCAGTACCCTTAAGATCCATTTCACGTATGTTCTCCCAGTTCGTGCTGGTGTTACTTTAGCTGGACTCTGTAGCTCTTCCGTGAAATACCTCTTTACTCAAGCCTGGGCAGCACTTTCACAGTTGAGCCATGTTACAGCTTCTCAGTAATTACTGAGCGCAGAGCCATGGTGGGGGAGGGGAAAGACCTTGAGGGAGGCAAGCGTCCATGTGAGAGGCCTTGGTCTCGGTGACGTCTTCGCCTAGTCTCTTGGCAGAGGAGGGGTGGACATCCAGCAGAGGGAGAGGGGACATCACTTGCCAGGCCAGAGGGTTCAGAGGAAACCGAGAGTTCAAAATCCCCAGCTGCATTTGCTCTGATACCTCCGGCCTAGTTGTCAGTATCCGGCCCCTTCCCTTTCACTATGTGCAGGGGACTATGTGTAGGAGACCTGCCGGGACATCAGGTTTTTAAATGCAATGAGAGTCGCCTTCACTACGTATTCTCTGTCTCTCTCTCTCACACACACACACACACGCACGCACGCACACACACACTTACTTTTTTTTTCTTTGTTCCCAATTATTACAAACAGATCCTGGACCTAATTTTCAGTCCCATCACGTCCTATTGTTGGAGGAGATGAAGTCTCTTTAAATGCTGCCAAATACGTTTTCTGGCTTGTTGATAGCGGCTGGCATTTTCTTCCTTTAGTGCAGCAGTAGCACTTAATAGTAGCCACTCAATTTTAGTGTCCTTATAGTTACTACATGTCCATACCTTTCAAATACTAGACATGTTATGGAAGTGCATCCTTTACCACTTGTATCCCCTCCTACCTCACCAGTCTTAGTAATTGTGATACTAGAATATGTGGGGTTATCATCTCCAATTACTGACAATAATGGGGTCTTTGCCATCATCTAGACAATGAATGATACAATTCCCGGACTCCACCCCGAAAATCTGCTCCCTATTACCATTTCTGATAGGCCTTCTTATTGCATTCTTGCGGAAGCAGACCTCAAGACAAAGATTTGAATGCAAGGAGTTTATAGGGGAGATCAATCCTAGGAAACAGCAGTAAGGAAAACAAGAAAAGTCAAAGGCAAGGCCCTAGCTGGGTAGCTCAGTTGGTTAGACTGTCATCCCAATACGCCAAGGTTTTGGGTTTGATTCCCAGTCAAGCCACATACAAGAAACAGCCAATGAATGCACAAATAAATCAAACAGTTGATGTCTCAATGTTTCTCTCTCTCTCTCCCCCACCATTCTTCTCTCCCTAAAATCAATCGATGAAATTTTTTTAAAGAAGTCAAAGATAACCAATAAAGTGAGCCTTGCCATAGAAGGTAACATTGTGAAAAACTCTAGTTTAATCCTGAAAAGGAAATTACGTGAGTGTGTGCCTTACAGTTTGTCTCTGAAGGGGTTGGGGGAGGAGTATTTATAGACCACCTTCTGCCAGGGTTAGTTGAGGGTTGCTCCTGAGTGTTGGTTTTCTAGCATTTTGACTGCTAATGGATACAGAGTGTCTTTGGGGATGATGAAAATATTTTTGAAGTGGATGGTTGCACAAACTTGTGAATATACTAAAAACCATTAAATTTTATACTTTAAAAGGGTCAGTTTTCTTATAGGTGAGTTAAATCTCATATCATACATGCAAATGGTCACTCCATTACATAAAATATATGTAGGTTTAATTCATTCTATTTAACAGCTAACCATAGATAAGATGTGCCACAACATATTCAACCATTTACTGGTAGGCAGTGAAATTGTTTATTGCCTTTTGCCTCTACAAAGTATTTGTAAATATTTATTCCTATTTATTTATGCTTTTATTCTATAAAGCAGATTCCCAAAAGGGCTTCTGGCCAATTTTTTGCAGATACCTTAAATTATTTTGCAAAAATTTAACAATTCACATTTTCTTTCAGCCACATACGAGAAAGCTCACTTACATACACTCTCACCAGCACTGATTTTTTTTTTCACTCTGAGAGGTAAAAATTATTTTATTTCCATCTGAGATTCAGTATCTTTATATGTCTATTTGCCTTTTTCAGTTTCTACTTTTCTTATTATTTGTCTGTACAATTTACTTTATAAAAGCTGTTAAATTTTATCATATGCCACATCAAGTATTTTTCTCCTTTATCCTCTTAGTATAATGAATTATATTCCTAGTCATTATATTTGGGTTGAAAATAATTTGGCCAGATAGGCTGTTATTTGAATAACTAGAGTTTCTATTTTTTTACTTAGAATCTTTATATTTCTACTAGTAAATAATATTGATGTATAGTTCTCTTTTTCAGTTATATTTATCTGGTTTTGTCATTTAGCCTATCTTTGTTTCATAAATAAGACATGGAATCTTCTCATCTTTTTTCCGTGAATAGTTCAAATAACAGGAATCATCTGTACTGTGAGGTTAGATAGACTTCAACGATAAAATCATCAGGGCCTGCGGCTTTTCTAAAAGGCAGATCTTTAGCTGTGTTTCTAATTTGTTATATGTAATGGTTTATTTGACTTTCTATCATGTCTTAAGTGAACCCGGTTTATTTATATTTTGCCAGAAAGTCATACATTTCCTTGAGATTGACATATAGTTGGACATATTCTTTTATAATTTTGAAAGTGTCTTTCATAACTTTTACAGCTCTTAATGTTGCATGTTTTCACCTTCCTCTCTTTTATCTTTAATTAGGTTTGCCAGGGTTAACTAAATTATAAGAAACAGGTTTTTTTCATGTCTTTTTAAGTCGTTTTTCTTTTTAAGTTAATTTCACTTTCATGAATTCTCTCCTCCCACTTTCCTTTTCTGAAAAAGATTTTATTTATTTATTTTTAGAGACAGGAAGGGAGGTAAAAAAACATCAGTGTGAGAGAGAAACATCGATCGGTTGCCTCTCATACCTGCCCAAACCAAGTGTGTGCCCTGACCGGGAATGGAACCAGCGACATTTCACCTTGTGGAGACACTCAGCCAACCGCGCCAGCCGGTCAGGGCCCTCCGACTCCCTTTCGGTCTATTCTGTTTTTCTTTTCGATTTGTTAAGTTGCACATTTAGCTTATTTTCAGTTCACTTTTTAAATAAACACTCTGAATTATTCATTTTCTTTTAAATACAGATTCAGCTGTGTCTCACAGGGTTTTTGATTAAGAAGAGTTTTCATTTTCATTACCATCTAGATAATTTACCATTTCCATTTTCTTTTTCTTCACTTCAGGGATGGTTTAAGAGAGTTTATAAAAACTGCCTTAAAATGAAAGAGAAATACATTTCCATGGGAAAATACTGAAATAGTTTAAGAGGATTCAGTGTAACAAGAGAAAACTCATCTTAATCAGATTCTGGTGTTTCTCCAGTGATATGAACATATTGTACAAATATAGGTTGTGGAACATATTCCTTAACTTTCATTTTATTTTGTTAGAAGGCTTCCTGAGGCCAATGTTGTGGTATGGTAGATTTGAGAAGCCAAAGGCTTATTCTACTCTGGTCTCGAATCTCTAACCCCTCTACGGTTCAAATTTGAGAAAGGGTCATAGAATGGACTCATGGTTTTCTAAATTTGTGGATTATTGATACTGGTTTTATTTTGTTTGCTGTGAAAATCTAGAGGTGAGAATTGACCACCTCCTTAAATTCATCCGTTAGGCATCTCCAAGGGATGGACGCCACTCCTGGGGGTTCCTGCTGTTTACATCCTACAGGGGTGGAGCCAAGAAGTATTTGTCATTTCGCAACCACAAACTCTGTCTTCCTTCCCCAAACAACCACAAATAAAAATCATTCTACGTAAACTCTATGCTTACCTTGCAAAGATGGCTTCATGGCAAATTCTCCAGCAGACTCCCCTTCATCCAGACTGCCTAAACACTTGCAGCTCCTGGAATGGTTCCTAATGATCTCCACATCCTGTTATTCACATTCTTTTGAAATCTCCTCCGTGTGTGTGAGATGAAGCAGATTGCCATAGGCAGAACCCGTGGCACAAAGAGCTGAGGGCAGCCTCTAGCCAATAGCCAGTAAGGAACAGAAGCCCAGAGTCTAACAGCCTGCAAAGAACTGAATCCTGCCAATTACCTGAGTGAGCTAGGAAATGGATCCCTTTGAGTTAAGCCTTGACATGGCTGCAGCCTCCCGAGAGACCTAGTGTCAGAGAACCCATTTAAGCTGTGCTCATATTCCTTACCCAAAGAAACTGGTACTATAAATGTTGTTTCAAGCCACTAAGTTTTAGGGCAATTTGCTATAGAGCAACAGATAACAAATGCACCGGTGTTTTACAAATTCCCGATAAAACCTGTAACCACTGGGAGTTGTTTTTTCAGGTAATTGGTTTGGAGAAAAGAATTATGTGTCTCACGCAACCTGTTCCCATCAGCTCATACTTTCTGAAAAAGAACACACGTGCAGGTTTTGGAGATTAAAAGAAAGAAAAAATGATAAGTGTGATCGGGGGAGAACAAAACTTAAAAAGAGAAATATTACCACTCTATGCCTATTAGGATGGCTAACATAAAAAAAATACCAATACCAATTTCCAAAGAGGATGAAGACCAACGTGACCTCCCAGACTTTGCCGGTGGGTGTGTGAAAGGGTATAGCCATTCTAGAAAACAGTTTTGCAGTGTCTTACTGAGTTAAAAACACACCACATGACCAAGAAATTACACTCATGAGCATTTATTTTAGAGAAAGGAAAACTTTTGTTCATACAAAAACCTATACACGAATGTTCAGAGTAATTTTATACGCAATAGCCAAAGCCTGGCATATTAGCCAGGGTTCTTCGGAACAATTGGTGGGGGACAGGGGGGTGAGAGAGAGAGAGAGAGAGAGAGAGAGAGTGTGTGTGTGTGTGTGTCTGTGTGTGTGTGTGAGAGAGAGAGAGAGAGAGAGAGAGAGAGAGTGTGTGTGTTGTGTTGATGGGAAAACTCTGTGATGGTTATATAATCTACACATGTAAAAAAAATTTCCTGAAACTACACCCCCCAAAAAGTGAGTATAAAAACTTGTGAAATTCATATATGGCCTGTAATTCAATGAACAATATTGTACCAATGTCAGTCTCCTGATTTTAACAATGTACTCTGGTTATATAATGGTGACACATATTGAATTCTTTTTAGCATAGGTATAGTGTCACTGTATAAGAAACAATGCTTTGCCGTCTAACTCAATAGCAAAATAATTCACACTCTACAACAACTGTGACATGTGACAGCCATTTTTTTTCTCTTGTTTTGACATGATGAGTACACACTGGCATTTAAAAAATTGCAGTATGGTGGTATTTGTGGCACTTGAAATGCTGTTAAGTTGTAACTGTGCCACAGGAATTTGCAGTATGCCAAGCAATGGTGCAAAGTGATCTGTGCACCATGCACAGTCTCTGCCATAGCTACTCATCTCCACTACTGCAGCGAGAAAGCAACCATGGGCAGTACATAAATGAATGAGCATCACTGTGTTCCAATACACTTTATTGATGGACACTAAAATTTGAATTTCATACAACTTTCACATGCTACAAAACATTATTCTCCTTTAAAGAATTTGATAATATAAAAACCATTCCTAGCTTGTAGGCCACACAAAAACAGGTTGCAGGCCAGATCTGCCAACCTCTGCCATAACCTCATGGGACCTATTTGAAGGTGGGGGAGAATAACAAGAAAATAAGTGAACAGATAAAATAGATAATTTTGTGTTTAAAGAAAATTAAATAGTAAAATGGCCAGAGATTATGTCTCTGAAGGAACACGTAAGATGAACCTGAATGGAACCAGTCATGAGAAAAGTTGAGTACTGAGTATTCTAGCAAGAGAGAATAGCAAGGGTAGGCTGGGGGCAAGCACAAGCTTGGCGAATTAAAGGAACCAACAGGGAGGACATCACTGCTAAGAATTTAATTAGTTGACTACGGTAGGATTTAGCCTAATTTTATACACTGGTTTTCTGGTCCCTTGCTAATTTATATGACCACACAAAAAATTATGAATTTAAAAAAGAGAGAAAAGGAAAAAGTATTTTTATTTTTGCCAAATAATTCTAGGAAAATACAGTATTTCTTATATGATCCAGAATCTTCAGAACAAGTATAGTTGGACCACGCAAGTTTTTTTCCTTAAATGCTCATCCTTAAGTTATTTGCTTCATTTTATATTTGCTTACAATACAAATGTTTTGCTCATTGGATGATTTAAGGCCATTCATAGGAATTTTACATAAAAAAGTTGTTTCTTTACAAAACTTAAAGATTAAATCCTCAGTTTACACTTTTCTTCTTTTTATATTCAGACCAATTTGTCTGTGCCAAGCTTGTTCTAATTTCTTCTAATGCATTGGAAGAAAAATCATTTTTCAGTTTGCATTGATTTGTGGCAATATTTGCATTCCACAATCAAATGCTACACTATTTCCTTTTAAATGACTATCACTTAATTAGTTTCACTTTTTCAGCAATTAATTTGTTTCTGAGACTTCTTATTTTGCTATTGAACCTGAATATTGATGGTTGGAGCAGATACTGTATTGGGATTACAATGCATGTATTCCAATCACACCACATAAAAAGTTTTCACATTTGAAGAAAAGTTCTTCATTGTAATATCATCTAATATCTTTCATAATTGTGAAATACACTTCAACTAGTTTCTTTTTTTCATTTATTTTCTCCAGTACTGCTTCTAGTAAATATGAGGCAAAAGGAAGCTGTAAGAGAAACACAGAAAAAAAGATTATCAAAACTCTATATTTTCTTCAGTTCAAAAAATATACTAAATATCATTAAACCATTAGAACTCAGCTGTCTGCAACTTTGCAACCATAATGGTACCCTACTGGGTCTCTTTTCAACTGATCCTGCTGGTTAGTGTGGGTAATTTTGTCTTTTATAATAAAAATGATAAAAGAGCTGAAGTAAAATGAAAAAAGATAAACGCCTTATTGAACAATTCATGGTTTACTGACCATGTTAATGATGTAATCTGCAATACAAGCAGCTAAGCCATTTATCTTCAATCAGCTGATCAATAGCAGGTTACAGTCATCCCCAGGGCCCACAGGCCCACAGAAGTAGTACTGTATGTTCATCACTCAGCAGAGAATGAGAGAGATCTATCAATACACTTGTCTGTGGTAGAGCTGACTATCTCAAGCTGTAAGGTGAAAATTTCAGAGGAAAAAAATGGCAAAAGTATATTCATTGATTAAGTTGTTATAGAAAAGTTTGTTTGGCATATCAAAGTGTAATACACATGTTGCAAACTGCTGAGTTTATGAAATGTAGAGTATATTTTTAAATTTCATAATTTATATAACTTTCCTAGTAAAGTTTCATTGTTCCCTCTGCTTCACTCGGTTGCCTATAGAACTCCAACTCATACAGTTTGAAATGTTCCCCAAGTACCTCCCGTAGCCCTATCAACTTCCTTTTATCCTTCTTCCAAGTTATCTAGTTTCACATAAGAAGTTTATAAGAATTAATAAATTCGTTAAGTCATTTCTTGGAGTTGACCTTTTGGTTAACCAGGTTACGGCTACTTTTGTTTCCCTGAATATATTAATGAGAATGCTTGTCATGTCCAGACGTCTTCCCTACAGAGAAGCAGCACCAGGCCCTTTTTTGTGCTAGATGACCACCAGTGGTATCACTGGTCAGCACCTGCCCCAAGGTGCCTCTGTACAGCTGCTTAGCTCTGCTCAGAGTCCCTCTGCTCAGAGCTGCTCCGCTCCGCTGAGGTGATTACAAATAGCTAAACCAACCAGAATGGTTCATTCCCAATGCTGAACTGGAGTAAAAAAGAAAAGATAGGCCAGCAGCAGAGAAAACAGTCCAGAAAGGCGCGCATATGCACACAGACACGCATGTGCACACAGACGCACACACAGCAGATTACATAGGCCATGAAGGAAAAATAGAGACCAAAGCTGGTCTGTAGAATTGCAACAGATCCCAAATAATTTTCTAGTTTAACGGCCTTCTTATCTTCACGATAAACTGCCTTTTCCTTAAGGAAGTCTGAGTCTACATCAGGACAGACTATATCTTTAGTCTGTATCAGGAGATTTACATATTTGTCTTACTGGAAACTTACCACAATAGAAAGCATAAGATTACCAAAATATCACATAGGTTCAATTCTAAGATACAGTTGAATATAAGAGACACACATTGATTTTTTTAAAAAACAGCTTTTTCTGGGATAAAAACTCGACCACCTGAATATGCCCACACTTTATACACGTTCCAATTTCAGGAATGAAAAAAATGCGGGGACAGTGTATCTTAGAATCAATGAAAAATAATATAGATTTGGTAGATTTTCAACTGAAACTATACTTCAAATATGACATCTTGGAAAGTACTTTAAAAATTCACATGGTCTGTTGGCCATATTTTTTTAATACAAAATGTTTTTAAAACAGTAAGAATACCTGAACTTTCTACTGCTTTGGAGTCCAGATTAAGTTAAGAGTAAATTAAATGATCTCCCTGTGATCCTGGAGGGGCTAGGCCTCCTCAGAACCCCCTTAGATGTAGAGAACACAACTATTTTTTCACTGAGAGGATTTTGGAGTTGAAGTGGCAACCTGACGGGCCGACAGCAAAGACTCCTTCCCACTTTCCCTATCGAATATATTTTAAACAGCAAACCCGACAATTATGCTGCCTCCGGTTTCATTTCGGGTGGCACGTGCCAGGGACTATGATGTCCAGGAAGCCTGACTCTTTTGCATCAAAAAGGAGAAGCGATGCTTCTAACTATGGCAGTGTAGAGTTACACAAGCCTGAGTTCTTTAGCATAAGAAGAAAAATGAAAAGGTGAAGAGCTGATACTACACGAGATTTCTCAGTATGAAAATTCAACTGGGACATCAA